CTATATATACAGCAAACATATAGCACCATGCTTGCAATTTTAAACTGAAAAATACATTAAACATGTGGTAGCTTTGTTGATGCAAGATGAAAAAGCCTAGCATAAATCTCTGCAATTAGGTTAGAAACTAATCACATAAACAAACCTTGGAATGTTGGTGGTAGTGAACCTAACGTGAGTGTTAAAAACTCAACCGAGTCAATTTTAAACTTCTCAGTGTTGTCAGCAATGATTGGTTTAGCAATGTCCTTCACCATGTTGCAAATTGCCTAGAGAGGAAAATGAAGGATCATAAATATTTTACAGAAAGTTATAATTGCTAATCAGATATACTTCAACCTTGTCTATTTTCTTACCTTGTCCAAATAAGGCCACATCGTTCCTATGAACTTGTTTAGCCAATCAACCTAGGAAAAATACAATGGGAGATTAGCTTCCAAAATATAACTAATAAATGAAGATAAAGAATTTAATGATTTAACCAATTACTATCAAAGCATTCATCCAAAACATTAAACCAATGCCACAGCATACTCGATCATAATCTGGATTTTTAACCCATAAAGGGATTTCAGGAAGCAAGCGCTCCAAGGACTTCGAATCATATTCAACTAGTGACCGTATCTTTGGATCCTGATGAAGAGAAAATTACAGAAGTTGAATTAGAAATTTGAAAGAACGCAATCTTTCAACCAGTTAACAGTTAATACTCATTTTTTACTGAATCAGATTATACTCTCAAAAAGCTATTCAACTAGAAACAACAGATCTTATCAATTCTGAAAATGAATCTGAAATGTTTTATCGAACATACATGGTTGAATCTGAAGATGATGGGTACAATGAGCACTTCAGATGCTCTTTTTAAAAAAAAAATTAATTAAAAAAATAAAAAATAAAAAATAAAAGAAAAAAAGTAACAAGAGATCAAAGACAGTGACAACATAGTAAGTGCATCAAGACGGCACTAACTCTACCTTACATATATGAATTTAACTGCAATTACATGCATTTAGCCGAACCTTTCAAATTATCATAATGTAATTTGAAAGAATTTGATAAGAAAGCTGGCACAGCTAATTCTGAGGTATCTAGAAAGTTCTTTAATGTTCAATTATGAATGTACCATATTGACTTATAAAAAAAGATAGTGATGTCAGTGATATGTTCCTTTGTGCAATGTTTCAGGCATTCACAGATATTTGTTTACTCTTTAATGTTAAGTTATGAACCTTCCATATTGAATTAGTCATTGTTGCGCACAGGAGCTTCTCAAATTGATTATATAACTCTGCTTTCTGTTAGCACGTATCTGGATTCCAAAATTCAATTGGGTTTTACGACTGTATTTATCTACTCGATCAGTACAAGAAGTTGAAATCGACTCCAACAACCCCCAAAAAAATAACTTCATATTATACTTTCATTGCATATTAATCACCAGAAAGTCAGTCCTTAATGCAGTAGAACTATAAGAAGTTTCCAATTCAGCGTTTCAACCATTCATTGAGCACTTTATAAAGCCTCTTCGAAATAATATTCTACAAAACCATAATATTCTCATCTTTATTTCTATCCAATCATACATTGATAATCAAAGATTCAGAATCAAGGCCATATATCATTTGTTTTTCATTGATTTATATAAAGAGCTAAACAAACTTACAAATATAAAATATGAAATAATCAAACTAGGAAGAAACCCACATTTTACAGAGAACGGTCATTCTTTCGAAAATGATGTCAATAGTCAATAAAACAAACAGGGAAACAGCAATACATCATGAAGTTTGGTAAAGAATAAAATAAATGGGCTTACCTTCACCTCACTGGGCTGCACGTAGATGAAGAAGTAATACCCGATGACGATTCCTGCCGTGAATCCAAATGCGAACCCGAAAATACCAAATATAGCACCAAAAAAACCCATCTATTCTCCTTAACAGTAGTAATCCTCTCTCGCTGAAGATACTCAAATCCAGATCACACAGAAACAAGATAACAGAAATACAAAAGGAAAAAAAACACTGCGACCGCTTTCTAAACGTTCAAATCCACCGAAATCTCCCGTTCCGCCTGCACCAAAAGGGTAGAATCAAATGCATAATCTGGCGAAAGAGAACACAATACGCAATCTAAGATCGATAAATTCCAATGAAAAATGAAGCGTTCGCGCAACAGCACGCTACAAAATTTGAACCGAAACAGAGAGAAAGACAAGCGAGCAGAAAAAGCAGTGATTATACACGTCAAAGCTAATACCGAGTATTCTGTCATCGAAAACATCGTAATTCATACCAGAATGCCGGCGTAGCAAAGACTACGACAAGAATAAAATTGAAATATTATACACTCAGGACAAATCTTGAGATAGAGACCGCAGGGAGAAAGAGACAGGTTCAGAGAGAGAGAGAGTAAGAGACCTTCTTCATGAAATTCTGTTCCCTTCCATTCTTTATTCTCTACAATGGCGTTTGCAGTTAGTGGATCGAAATCGGAGGAGGGAACTAATCGACGCTTTGCTGATTGGCGTTTCTGTGTCTCGAGAGGAAGAATAATTGTAATCCATTATTATATTTATAATAATGGAGGGGTATTACTGAAACTGAAAGGTCCATGGAGACCTTCGAGTTCTGACCTGAACAATTAGATTCGTTACTGCAAAGTATTTTCCCACGTAAAGGGCCATTGCATAATTATTGTTTTAGCCAGCGGGGCTTCATCTAGGATAAAGGTTTTTGAGGTGGGCCTTAGTAAAATATGGCGGCATGAAGCGAACCAACGACCGCCACGTGTTACATATAGGCCGGCCGTTTGGGCTATTGTCGTCGCTCTGTGTTGAGTCACAGGCTTTTTTGTTTTTTAAATTTTTTTATTTATTATATTTATTTTAAGATAAATATTATTTTTATTTTTATTTCAAAATAAAGATCAGAATAATTTTCTTTAAAAACTTACTTAAAATATGATCAAATTGTTAAATTTATATTAAAATAAGAATAATATATAAATAATTCAATTATATTTATTTAGAATAAATTTAATAATTTAATAATTTATTCTTATATCCATCAAAACTTTCTTATAAAATGAGTCTCTTTTTTTAAGGATTACTAATTTTATTATTGAAATTATTTTTTTTGAACTAAAACTTTTTTACTAAAAAGTTGCTTTAAAATGCATCTCTAAGACTTCGTTTGGGAAGGCTTTTTTATTGCTTTTAGTACAAAAATAAAAAAATTTGTACTAAAACTCCGTGTTAGAAAGCAATAAAAAAACCGTCCCAAATGAAACAAATTTATTATCGTGAATCAAATTTATGTTTTCCAAAAGGTGAACAAATTGAGTAAGAAAGATTGGTGATCATCATAGTCATATTGATGAAGTCATTGTCTTACTTAATACTCGCTTAATTGCATTTTACTTACTCAAGTTTTTTTTTACTTTCTATTATGAGGTTTGGGACTATATCATCAACATAAAAGATAATAAGGTTCATATTGTACTTTGTTGAAATCAAATAATATAATAAAAAAGTTAGATAGACTAACCACCAAAATTTAACACTTTTACATTGAGATTTGAAGCAAACTTTGCACCATTTAGAGTGATGACTACACCTACAAGAAATCACACCAATAATTATGGCTCACATACCGACGATATGAATATGTGATTCTAATGAAGTGAATTAAGATCAGTAGCACCCCCAACGATTTAATCCATCGATGTGGTTCGAACATCCTAAATATAACGAAAAATGATATTTTCGCCGGCAAATCAATTTCTCTAAATCTATGTTGGATGAGAAACCCTTATTCGAGGAACAATTATTATGTCCTCCGACCGGGCGCAGAGGAACGTCCGGTCGGAGGCCAAATCCCGCCAAAAAAATGAGTTGTACCGAGCAAATACCGAGCAATATCAAACAATAACGAGGAATACCATCATTTGTAGACCCAATACCGAGTTATACCGAGCTAAACCGAGAAATACCGAGTTATACAAAAGTTGTACCGAGTTTTTCCTAGAAAAACTGGGTACAACTCGGTATTTCTCGGTACAGCTCGGTATAACTCGGTATTGGTCTTCAAAGAGCCGTATTCCTCGTTAATATCAAATAATACCTAGTTGTACCAAGCAAATACCGAATTTTTTGACTAATTTTGCCTCCAACCGAACGTTCCTCTATGTCCTTACACCGGACCTAATAAAAGTTCTTATTCGAGGAAAAACATACATGTTGTCATCCACAAACTAATTGAATATGTAGTAATTGAAAGGTAAAGACTAATATCCCTTATTTTTATTGATCTTTATACATTGAATACTATCTCCGTTAGGAGCAAGGTACTATTCTATATAGGCATTTCATAAATTTTATGTATGGATGTTTTGATTTCATAAGTATTTGCTTCAAATCCTTTGAATTTGCATTGAGATTAATACTATTTAAAATATATAATACAATTATGAAAATGATATACAATATTGAACTCAAAATTAACCGTCAGAATAATTTCTGTCTCTACTGAACTTTTATTAGACCAGGACACCTGACGTAGCTCTACATCCGGACGCCAATAAAATGTCGTAATGTGCTCTTACTCTTTACCGCGCGTCCGACAATCCGACCCGAACAGGAACCCGGTATTGCTATGCTCGTGTATTGCTAGATATTGCTCGGTATTGCTATGTATTTCTTGGCAATAATGAGAAATATCGCTCAATACCGAGCAATACCTAGCAAAACCGACGCATTGCTCGGTATTGGTCTTGATAGAATGATATTTCTCGTTACAGAGCAATACCTAGCAATACCATAGTCTGCATAAATCAGCTAATACATAGCAATACTGGGTTCTGATCCGAGTCGGGTTATCGGGCCGCACGATAAAGAGTAAGAGCACGTGACGATATTTTATTGACATTCGAATGTAATTTAACCGGGTTCTTATCATTAAAAATTATAAAAAAATAAAAATGTGCAAAACGTCTTCCAATTTGGTCCTTTCGGTCTACGGCCCGTCCCCCACCTACCGCCCGCCCACCAACCACACCTCCCCTTCCCTGCAAAATGGCCATCCCGTCGGCTACGAGGAGATGGTTGAAGCCGCCGCATTAGGAGTAAGAAGGCGGCGAGGAATCCCTTCGTACTCTTAGCACGCAAACCCTACTCCAGCCCGAAGCCTTCCCTCATGGCCGCACCTGCTTCCTCTTCCATCCATTCTCCTCTTCGATCTTCACTGAGGATCCCGCGCGGCCGAAATTGTTCTCCCCCCGGCGCCTCATCCATTTCCCTCCTCCCGCGCGGCCTCCGCTCCACCTCCCTTGGTCGGATCGGCTTCAGCTGTTCGTCGTCTGATCAAATCCTCACGAGGGTCGCCGCTAGCTCAGCTCCTGTGATGGATCCGACGAAGGGAGAGGTAGCACTTAAGGTTCCTACCGTTGTGGACGTCGATCTTGGGGACCGAAGCTACCCGATTTACATTGGCTCGGGCCTGCTCGACGCTCCGGATCTACTCCAGAGGTATACGAGTTGCTTTGCTCTAATTGCTCCTGAACATCTCGCGCTTGTCTCTGTTGATTAATTCCACAATAGCTTTCCTTAGACATGTAGCGGGGAAGAGGGTGCTTGTTGTAACGAATACCACGATTGCTCCTCTGTACCTCGACAGAGTTGTCGAGGCTTTGACGCGTGGGAATTCTCATGTCTCTGTTGAGAGCGTTATCCTACCTGACGGGGAAAAGTACAAAGATATGGTAAATACTTCATAGTGGTTTTCTTCTGCTTTTTAGAAACTGCTAACTTGATTCCCTGAGTAATTCATTTTGAACCAGAAGTTCTCTTTGTTATTTTTTCTTTCTTTTTTTGTAGGGAACCCTGATGAAAATATTTGATAAGGCAATAGAATCTAGGATGGACCGCCGTTGCACATTTGTGGCTCTTGGCGGGGGAGTAATTGGCGACATGTGCGGCTTTGCGGCTGCTACTTATGTTCGTGGTGTTAACTTTATTCAGATCCCGACGACTCTGATGGCTCAGGTATCTTCTACGTCTATTTGTTCTTCATTTCGTTTTATGACTGGTTTCTTTATGCTATACAAGGATCTCCTTATTTACATTTAGGTGGACTCATCTGTTGGTGGGAAGACTGGAATAAATCATCCACTAGCCAAGAACATGATTGGCGCATTCTACCAACCACAATGTGTTCTTATAGATACTGATACTCTAAACACGCTGCCCGATAGAGAACTTGCTTCGGGTATAGGTGAAGTTATCAAATATGGGCTTATCAGGGATGCAAAGTTCTTTGAGTGGCAAGAGAGGAATATGGAGGCACTTCTGGCAAGGTAACAATTGAGTTTATGGATTTAAATAGGAAAAAATCACTAAAATAGTCCCTTGACTCTTTATGAGAGATCAAAATGATCATCAATTATATTAAAAGATCATTTCAGTCCCTCAAATCTTTAAAAATGAATCAAAATAGTCTTATGGTCGGAGTATTTTGATTCATTTTAAGAAGTTGGGGATCAAAATAATTCTTTAGTATGGTTGAGGATTATCTTGATATTTCATAAAGAGTCAATTGACCATTTTAATTATTTTTTCAATTTAAATGTGTACAAAATCATATGAATGTTTAATCTAATACAATTCTTTGCTCATTATATTAATGTCCTTTTTATGCTACCCAGAGGATTTAGTTTGGAAACATGTTTTCTGGGAGCAATCATAGTGCCTAGAAAAGTGTATTAACGAATGACATCCCTGACACATAGAATACCGGAGACCATTATTTGTTTAGCAATTGTTGAAATGTTTTTGCAACAGCTGAAGTCATCATTAATACGTTGAGGTCTTTCTTTGAACGAGTTTCCCATATTTATACTCTTTGAGATCCTGCAAAACTCCTTCACATAATCAACTTTCATTTGAGTGCTAGATCATGCATTGCATGGAAGTTGTAATCCTATAATAAATGGAAGACATTTATTATAACGGCTAACTTAAAAAGTCATGCCAGGATGTCTAAACATTGAAATGTAGATTTTTATGGACCCCCAGTTTATGTCGTAACATAATTTGTTGTATCTCATGCTTTGTTCACAAACTCTTTAAGCTTGCTTTGTTCGCGATTAGAACTTGACCTCCATGAAACTTATCAAGTTTTTTATGGATCTCCCGGCTTTGTTTTGAATTCTCATCCCTGGATGGAGTTAGAACCTTAACTATTCATATACATTTGTGTCTGACACTTGTCTTCTTGTGTTTGTTTGATTTTTGTTTAATTATAAGGAAGCTACTTTTGCTGTCTTTTTTCTTTTTGAATAATTTCTATGATCTTATTGATATTGTAGGGATTCAAGTGCCTTAGCATATGCCATCAAGCGCTCATGTGAAAACAAAGCTGATGTTGTTTCCTTAGATGAGAAGGAAAGTGGGCTAAGGGCTACCTTGAACTTGGGTCATACATTTGGGCATGTGAGATACCGGGACTTTCCAAATTATTATAATTTCTTTTTCGTACTTATTTTGGGTTTTCCTAACAAATCATGAATCATCATTAGTTTTGTCCCTACTATTTTATGTTGACTCTAAGAATTCTCATACCATTTATTCGTGTTGAGTTTTGCTGTTGCATGAGATTAATTTTCCACATTTGTTATGTTATGATTGCTTAAATGTTTAAGAAAATAATAGCACCTACTGATTTATCATGTCTTGGCCTTAGCATTAGTTGAGCTTATTTGCAATGAGTTTTTATAGATTGTTGGAGCATTTAGCTGGCTGAAGTAAAACTGAAAAATTAGTTTTTGATTTGTTTGGCGTAAGCCTGCAAGAAGTTCTGTCTTGTCTATAGGTTGCACTTTTTGTATGCTGGAATGCTTCTAAAAAGTCATAACAGGAAAAAAAATTAATCTGACAAGGTAGCTCCCTTATTAGTTAATGCAATCATGTGAATTTCAGGCTTTTATATAGAACATTGATACTTTGTATTACCATTTGATTTTAGATTCATTGAGATTACAATGTTGTGAACTTGACTGAAACATGAATAATCTACATTATTTTTTTATTGGCCACTTTAACAGTGGGCAATCGTTTTGTCTTTTTTCCCTTTATTAATTTAACAAATGGGCTTAGTGGTACGCAATGTTTTCAAACTTGAACATTGATAGGAAACTGATACGCCTTAGGTTTAGACAATTTCGGTTTTGCCCTAGTTTTCCCCCAAAAAGAGGGATTTCTCCACCAAAACCAAAGAAGAACAATCACAAGAGGGTTAAGATGAGAAGTTAAAACCTTTGCATAAGAAAACCAAGAGAAAACGAGATAAGTTTGTCCACTTCGAGAAGGACAAGATCTCCCACAAGAAAACCCTAGAAAAGAGCAAGAAGGAAGCTAAGGAGAAACTAAGAGAGAGAATACACTTTTCATAATACCCAAAACTAAACCCTAAAGGCTCCCTTCATACACATTCAAAAAAACCCTTCCCTCCCCAAAATACCCCCACTTAAGTGGGGGTCCCTCCTTGGTTCGGCTGAAGCCCGCCCCCCCCCATTTCTCCGCCTGTAGACCAGCGCGGGTCCAGGCGGGGAATGTTTAAAATTTTATTAATTTGCAATTAAAAAAAGAACTTATAACTTTCAAGAAAATTTCACTTAAAAAATAAATAGATTGTTTATTAACTAATAAACAGAATTTACTACCAAAATAATTCATGAATAAAAGAAAATCCATGTATCATATAAAATTACGTATCTAATCATATAAAACTTATCATAATGATTATAATTATTTATAATGATAAAATTTTTCATGTTTATAATGATAATATAGTTAAAATATTTATAATATGAATTTTTATTTTTTCTTTTTTATTAACGTGCATTTAATGCACGATTATTTTTACTAGTATATAAAAAGAATTATATGCATCTTTTCTTGGGAGGGCCCACATGCCCCCTTGACTCTGCCCATGGTTTTTTTTTTTTGCAACGTACGTAAGTTTTATTAAAAGATTTTGGAAATGAAAATATTTATTGGCTTGATATTAATAGTATTTATGATAATAATTCCATTAAATGTGTAAAACTCTTTTAGATAGATCTGAGTTGTGGCATAAGATATTTTGTCATGCAAGTATTGAGAACATATTTAAAAGGGCTACACAAATTAATTAGATTTGACAAATGATCATCTTTGTGATGTTTATTAATTGATCAAGCAATTCAAAGTTTTGTTTCTTTTAGTTAAGGTGATAGGACCGCTTTGTATGCATTAATATGGCTAGTTTAGAGAGAAAGTTCATGAGGTAGTAATTATTATTGATTTTGTTAGATTTATTTGGATGAAATTTGTTGCACAAGAAAATATTCATTTGATAAATTTAGGACATTCGCATTATAAATTTAGAGAAGTTTCAATTATGAGCGAATATTTCATATTATATTTGTTGTCCTGGAATATTTACGGCGGTAGAGAAGTATATAATTTATTGTCTTAACGTTGTACGAAAATCCAGCACACAAACAGGTAGAAAAGGTAGATGCATTAATCACATGAGACACCATAATTTTTACGTGGAAACCCTGAAAATGGGAAAAAATCACGGGGCCTAACCCAGTTCGAAAGTGATCATGATTTTCTAACTATATTATTGGAAAGACTACTCACAAAATAGTTTAACTTTTTAGGTTATTTTAGCTAAAAAAATTGCTTGCAAATTTGACTAATTACTCGAGTAATTTAAGGGTTTATTTTATTTCAATCTTAAGTATCAAAATAAAAATCATGAGCTAAATTAAAAATAAATTAGATAGTTAAATGATAATTATGACTTACTTTTAATTGGATTCATACATCACATTCAAATCTATCTTCTCGTTATTGGCTTCTAAGGAAGTGATTTTCCGAGTGAAAATTTTAGGAGGATTTATATATCACAAAATTTTTGTATATTTATATGTATAATATCCAAATATTTATATTTATTTAAATAATATCAAAGTTTTTAAATTATCTATAAAATATTGCAAAGCAAAGTATAATTTCTATGCATATATTTTGATACTATAATATAATATGCAATAAGGATCACAATGATTCACAACTATTTCAAAGTCTTATTTTAGTTCATTGATTTTTTAAGTAGGGACATAAATATATAATTACAACAGAAAATTTAATTTGATCTTTATTTAATAAATTAAGGAACCGAATTAATATTTTTATATAAGAGGGAAATATTTTAGTCCTTTAAAAAAATTAGGGTACCGGCAAATTCATTTATAGTGCTTAGATTACGAGTGTCAATTCGGGTCAACGGGTCGGGTTCGGGTCGAACCCGGAATTGACCCGGCACTGTTCGAGTCAAACCGAACCCGACTCGATTTTAAAAACGAGTTAGGTTACCGGACCCGAACCTAATCCAATTTTTCCGGGTTTTCGTGTCAATTTCGGGTCATTTTCGGGTTACTGGGTCAATCCAAACTCGACCCGATTTTTAAAACGGGTTGATTTGTTGAACCCGAATCCGACCCGTTTCAGGTCCGAGTTGACCCTAACCCGGATTTTTCCGGGTATGGTTCGAGCCGTGTCAAAAATTGACACCCCTAGCTTAGATGCAAGATAATCTACTAATTTCAATTATTCCTTGGATTTGATACAACATGCTAGTTTGAAATATAGTCGTCATGAAGCCCTCGTGAATACAAGTCATAGAAGAAGCCCAAGAAAAAGCCCAAGCTGGCCCATCCCACTCCACACCGCCCTTGGTAGGTTGTATTCGCCAATAGAATTATGAAAGAGTACGCAAAACTCATACGTTAGCGCCTCCTTCCCACGAAAAATTATTTTGTGCAAAGTCCAGACCCCAATAAAAATACGACATGTTTGATACCGAGCGGTACCGCATCTCGGCACCGCTCAGTACTTAAGCGTAAACCGGACGGTTCTTTTATCCGATGTCCGCACATAATAATCTCTTCCTTCCCACCTCATGGTTTACACAAAATGATAAAGAGGGCTCACTCGACTGATCTTTCAGCACTCCACCTCTGATGACTAGTTGTTAGTTGTTACTACAATTTCACTCTGATTGCTTCTCGCCTTACAACTTTATGTCTCACTAACTTCGCTTGAGGCATTAGTCTCCTATGCTAATACTCTGTCCTCATTTATTGCATATTGAGAAGAAGACAACCATAATAATTTTAATTGGTGATTGATACGGGAAAAAAATTGCTTTCATTGAGCACAAATCTTGAAGATTATTTTAATTTATAACTTTCAAAATTAAATGCGGGATCATCTGAATTCCAATTCCAGCAAATTTATAATCAAATTGAATGCTCAATGAGACAAACCCAACGGTATCAAAATCAGTCTAATCCAAGCTCAAATGGGCTCAAATCAAGGGACCAAAACATATTTGAAAGCTTTAGTATTGCATTAATTGGATGACCAAATGATATCCAAATATATTAAACTTATAGTCAATTTGAATGACTCGACGAGATGAATCCAACGAGCCAAAAATTGCTTAATTCTAACATCATTAAAACACGTCAATGTTAAACAAATGCTCTATGATGGATAGAGTCAGTATGAATCGTCTCATGAAACACTTCAAATTCAGTCTGGATCTTATTCAA